AAACGCATGCAGGCTCTTGTGAAGCAAGCTACTCAATCGCCGAGCCTGAAATGAGGCACAAACATAGCGTGCTAGCTTGTGCCTGGATTGCCATGGGCAGCACTGGCACTGAGGCAGGACGTGGAAGGAACGAAATGCCAAAGACGACGAAAAGGTCCAGCGAACACGAGAGGCAGAAGCGTGCACTATCCTGTGCCAGGTGCTTGTTATCGGACCATTCGAGTCAGCAGTGACGGCGGGTGTTGGCCACGAAGACTGTCATTCGGTCGTCGAAAGGCAGGAGGTGCGAATCCTTAATGATAAGAACGACGATTCCGCGAATATGTGGGAATGTTGTTGAGCCTGCATCCATCAGCAGGCGGAAGGATGCAGTCTGGACACGTGATCGCGCGCGACCCACGCGTGTAGCTAGTTGGAGTTAAGAGTGTTGATGCAGCGCCGCGCCGCGCCGCGCCTTCCATTTTGGAACAGCAGCTAGGCGCTCGCGCGCACGCAGTCAGCAGGCGATGCATGCATATGCAAGTCAAGGCTTTTCGATCGGTGTGCGAGGCGAGGCGCTGCAGCAGCAGAGCAGATGTTGATTGTGATATGCAAGAATTTGAGGGGGACGATGATGGGTTGATGGATTCGGCATCCCTGAAGTCACGAACGAGTCTGCGAGCGTGTCCAATACAAGCAGCCAACCATTGACTGTAACTGGCGCATTTCACGCATCCGAGCTTGGCGTAGGGTGAAAGTGTGTGATACTCACGACTGCCGAAGGGCTCTGAGATCATCACAACCTCCATCGTGCGGATCGAAGCTCGGTCATCTCCTCAACTGGGAACAGCTCCCGCGCCAGCACCTGACCCGACAACAAGGAACCTCAAAGCTCACAACTCGACCTCGCCCAAGCTCACACTTTCTTTGCTGCTTCTCTCGAACTTGGTGGGCTCATCAACAATGAGCCGCACTCCTCTGGCACCTGTCCAAAGGGCGAACAACGACATCATCGACGAAACGGCAGGGAGCTACAATCTTGCGCATCCCTTGCAAAGCGATCCGCCCATCGTCAGCTCTCTCTCAGGTCTCAAGGCTCGTCTCTCGCACCTTCATCGATCCACTAGCCACCAGTCGGAAAACGATCCCTCTCGAGGCTCCAGGAGCGAAGCACCATACACCCAGGAGAAGAATTCCAACAGTCACTTCTTCCTCAAGACTCCTTCATCATCACAGGATCGTAACCTGAATTCCGTCGCACCCACCCGACCTGCTCTTTCTAACGCTACTCTGCCACCTTCACCGCCCGCTTCCAACAGAGAGGCCGGCAGCATAGAGCCCATGTCGCACCCCACTTCCCGCGATGCAGAACCAAGGATGGTCATCAGCAGGCCATCACCACAACCTCATCCAAGCCCTCTCAGCTCTCCACGCAAGGTGGGCGCCAAGTCTCGCAGACCCGAAGTCAGCGTTGGCGCAGAGTCTCCAAACCCTCGAGCTCGCAAGAATGTTCGCTCTGATGAGGGAGACGATCTCCAGGCAGACTTGCCTGCAAGTCAGGGGTCCGACATAAGCACGGATACACGAAGCAAAAGGTCTCATGCTGGCCGAGCATCCCGCGGATCTTCAGCTGGACTTGGGGCTAGCGAGCAGTCTTTCATCCGCGAGGCTCGCAAGCGCGCCTGGGATCAGGTACACACCAGTCCTCCCACGATTCGTTACCTCGAGCCAAATCCTCTCCCGCCCACACGCTACAATCCCCTGGCGCACCGACAGCGCTCAGCAGGAAGGGCATCGGCCTCTTTGGACAATCCAGACAACTCTCAGAGTTCCGTGGGCTCTCGCAGTCGTGCAAGCTCTCGGACCCAGGAGCTTCGCTCCGAAGGCGCAGCAGTCAAGCGCACAGGATCTAGGGCCTCCGTCTCAACTCCACCTCCAGCATTCAGAGATCGCATCAGTGCGGATCCACAACGCCCACCTTCACCGACTGATGATCCCCTCCTTCTCAAGGGCAAGTGGGGCGTGCCACGTACACGCTTGCAGCGAGCGGTCCAAATCAAGGAGGACCCTGAAGCGCAGTACGACTGGTCCGTAGGCGATGCTTCCGTGGAGATGGTGCCATCGCACCCATATCACAGCGGTAGTGCTTCCGAAAGCTGCTCTTACGCTGCAGACGCTCCTCCTCAAGTCGTCTTGGACACCGAAGGAGCCTACCTTGATTATGACGGCGGGGTGGACTTGTTTGGCGCGGACGTTCCAGCCGGCGATTCGCCTTCGCCTTCGCCTTCGCCTTCGCCTTC